CAGATATTAAGTTTAAGGGGCATATTATCAATTAGATGGTAAGGCTTTCATTGTAGACGTGCGTATCATACACCATTACAGAAGTATTATGCGCATATTAAGTAGTTGTGATGTGACCTTAGAAAGGATTTGATGATTCGTGAAGGTATTTTACATGGTGCGAGTGGAGGCAGCCCTCAGAGGAGTTCTGGACAAATGCTTTGATACCAGCGGCTCAGGGTAGACCAGGAAACCAGAGAAGGTGGTGTAGGGGCCTTGGTTGCTATAGACAGCAAAGTGTTTGTGTTGGTGGCTGTACAGCCACACGGTGTCTCCCTCCCGCAGTGACAAAAGCAGGCTCTGACTCTGCATTTCCCGCCGCTTCAACTTGCCATTGTCAAACACCATAGACACAGCCATAACACTCTGTTATCTGCTTGTGCCTTCCTGGGGCTGCCCAGAAAAGGGTAGCTAGGATAGAAGAACCCTGGCAGAGCCAAGTGGTTGTCAAGGTAGTCTGAGGAAATGTCTGGATATGCTAGGTAGCCGATGAAGGTGACATACGGCCCCGTATTGCTGTATAGGGCACATTTAGGACTGTTGTGATGAAGAAGCCACACCGTTTCCTAGGCCTTCAGTCTGATCATGGCGCTCTGGCTTTGTACTTTCCGATCTTTGTTTTGGTGGTCATTGTAGACCAAAGGCTGGACCTCCTGCCTGTTCTTCACCAGCATGACGGACAGAGGCTTCTTCGGAAACTTACCCACCGTATAAGAGAAGGAGTACGTGCCGGAGATGCAACACCTGAACACTCCGGTGTCAGGGTTTAAGTCATGGCCAATGTTAAGCAGAAGGCGGTCGAAGGTCACGGCCTTCTGGGAGCCTCCGTGGAAGCTGCTGGATGGGGCGGCGGAGAAGGCCGACTGGATGCCCGCCATCTCGGGGGTGAGATGGGGTGAGGACATGCCCAGCAGGCTGGCAAGAGTCCAGGATGCCATCTGAGGTGAAGAAAAGAACAGACGCCAATAAAGGTGTGGTTAATTCTCCGCAAAAAAAATTATGTTGAAATCCCCAATTTCTAAAATTCCTAGTTATAAGAAATGTAGTTTACAGAAAGAAATATGTTAGAAAGAACACCTAGAAGGTAAATTATAATTATAATACTTATCAGGATTTATGCATGTATTGCATGCTATTGCATTATATACGTAGATTATTTCACATTATTAACAGAGGGCCATTTTGATACATTTCTTGTGAAGTAAAAGTGCATGGAACATTCATTCTCATACCGAAAAATAGAAAGATTACCGAAATCGCAACAAAATATCAAATAAGTCCAACATCTGTCTGAAGTACATTGGGGTGATAATTGTAGCACAGTATGTGTTTGGTTTGGGCCACTGCATGAAAGCCACATTCTACATCATTTTCAGAGCACTCCAAACTGCCCCTTATAAAATTTTATTATTTTAATGTTAATTTGGGTAACTCCAAATATGTATTGGAGCAGCTAGCAAATGAATTACAGTAACATGAGCGGCAGACTGCTTTGTATCTTCCATTTTTATTAGCTATTTAGGAGAATATTTTAGATCAAATATAAGAACAGAGTTAAGAGTAGCAGACCAGAAGTTTGGGTGTTTCAGTTCAGCCCCCTCTGTGTATGTTCTGCACACTCAGGCAGCTGCGTGGTATTCAATGAAAAGCCAGTAGAAAAGAGTGTGAAAGAAGGCTGGTTTTGTGCTGTCAGGACCGATTCTGCCCCTCAAAATCACACACACAGTGGAAGCTTGAGGTCCGGTAATTCTGCTGTTATTGCCTGTTCTTTGTGCGCACTGAGAAAATGCTATGGCTTAGGGACAGACTCAACTGTCCCCACCCTTAATAACAAAGGCACATTTCTGTTTTAGTTTAAGGGACCAGACAGAGCAATGGGGAGGGAGGAAGAACGTTTCCATGAGACACTATTCTTCACCAAAGTATTATACTGTTACAAATGCATATGGAATAGGCTACAGGCAATATTGTAGGAGTTACAGTGTATCGTCAAACAGCAAAGACAATGCTGTCTGACAGAATTACCTGGATGATGATATCAGGTCTGTCATGGTGTCTAGGTGTCTAGTGGACGTCTCTCTTTCCCTAACACCATTCTTTTACCACATTGGATTGAGAATGAGAGTAAATCTAACCATCCCCACTAACTGAGGGTCCAGAGCCTGGGACAGGCCCTTAAAGACTGAACACATGAAAATTCACTATTTTTTTTATAATATATTTGACTGTTTTATAATTGAGCAATTTAGTAGTCTGCATTATTTAAATACCATCAGACATGAATGGATGATACGTAACCAAACATATGCGATGCCAGTGAAATACTGAGTTCCCTAATAATAATACATTTTATTTAAAAGGCGCCTTTCTGACACTCAAGGTCACCGTACAGGCATACATAAAATTTATACACACTACAAAGGATAAAATGCAAAAATAAATAAATAAATAAAAATGACAAATAAATGGATTTTACAATGAATAGGCTAATCTCTAATATATGGATACAGTTGTTGGTCAAAAACAAAGATGGGCATAATAAATATTCATATTTGTGTTACAGTAATAAAGTTCTTGCCATACAAGCTATGTGATGATCACATCACACTGACCATTCATTACGTATCATGGTGACAGAGGAGAAGAGATGAGGCTCATTCAGGTTACGCACCGGATTACTCAGAGTATCAGAGGCTGGCAGAACGTGGTAGACGTAACATTTGGGACATCAAAAGGTTCTCTAAGACAGTGGTTCCCAACCTTTTTTAACTCACGGCCCACACAGCCAAACACATATGTTTCCGCGGCCCACTGCAAAAGAATTTAAACGATCCCGCTTTTTGTGTCGGGTTAACTAAGTACTCGGAAGCAAGGCTGTTAATTGTCTTTATTGAATAAACTGGTAATGTATTGAATAAACAGAAAAGCCCCCACAGGCTCGGGCTGACATTTCGAAAACGGGAAAACGAAATCCAGGCAGAGGTCAGCAGCGGGTAGAACTTCAGCGAGCCGAAGAGCCGTCAGAGGGAACAGGCAGAGCTGGGTTGAAACGAGCAGTCAAAACTGGCAGAGAAATGGAGCACTGGACAAAGCAAGACTAGAGTCAGACTCGAGTGACAAGCGCAAATCGAGAGCAGGCAAAAAAAAAAAAAAAAGCTTCATTTGACAGTATTTCTGAGCACACAACACAGAGCGGTAGCTGCTCGTTCTCTGCTCCAACATATGTGAAACCCAGCGCTAGGTAGTCGCTACTATATTTTCTTCGTTTAGGTTTATTTTGAGGCTTTTCAGTGTCAGGCTTACTTGTTGCTGAAGAAACGTCTGTATTTTTTCTTTTCAGCGATCCTGTTGTCAACCATTTATCCATTTTTAAATCTGCTTCAGCATGTATGAATCAAAACTATTTTAGATAGTCTAAGTTGGCGGGTTGTTATTAAACCAATCAGCGAGCTCGAATAGTGAACGCATAGTAACAGTTTATTATTTAATTTCTCATTATTTAATTATATATCAAATTATGATTTATTTGATTTTGACTAGACATTTTTATTATATTAACAATATTACAATTTCTTTTAATAATAATTGGCGGCCCACAGGTTGAAAACCACTGCTCTAAGACAGCCAGTTATCAGTGTGCATTCAATAAGACACTTTCGTGTGGCATGCTGCATTAGAAACCCACATTTTGTATAAGAAAGGTAACATTTACCTGCGTCAAACATATTAAATAGCAGGGCTGTGATTATATGAAAACTTACCATTGCGGATGAAAGCAATACATACATCATAAAATAGAATGAGTTTTTTAAATCAGGTTTTGTATGAATTATAAGTAAAAATAATTTTAATGTGTGACCAGAGCAAATTCGTCGTCTCAGTTGCTGAATCACAGTGTGAAATGAAATTGCATACAATTAAACAACAAGGCTGGTGTCAGGGATACCTCAGGAGTCTCAGTGTAATAAGGAAGGAGGGAAATGGGCAACTTACCAGTAGGTGCCAGCAAACGTCACCGTGATCAGCGGTGCTGTGAAGTCTGCGAGTCTCAATTCTCAACCCTCGTTGGACTTCTGGGTCTGAAAGGCACAGATGACACTCAGGAGATCGGGACGAGGGGTGGAGCGGTCCATCGCCAAGGCCTGCTTAACCCATTACTGCTCTCACCAAAAGACCAGACTGGCCTCAGGATCATTTTTGGAGCATTGGGTCACTTAGTGTTGCTGTTTAGACAAGCAGCAAAAAGCAGACACAGTCCCTTGTACACACACACTGTTATAGGCAGTATCCAGTTTTTATTTAGTTGTTCAGATGTATCAAATGGTTGCCCAAGCAACCATTTATCATTGCTATTATTGTCTGTGATGATAGTGTAAATGTATTATGCCTGGGATTAATGCAGAGGACACTATGATGTAATACACTGCTAACTGCATACGAATGACATGCAATGCAACATACAGTTACAACAGGGGCGTCAGAAGCATTTTGAATGTGGGGGGGGACACACTGGCATAAAACTAATATTTTATGTTAAATGTGGGAGGGTCCAAACGAATAATTATGAAATGAGACTTAAAAAAAAAATAAAGACATTTTGTGTTTATTCCATGCAATATATAATAACCACTAAGCAGACATTCACTGACCTTATTGGTAATTTTGCAGTTGTTTTATAGTGTATTATTTTGAGCAATTTGCTTTTAAAATTTATTCCTCTTTATTTCATCAAATCATCTTCCAATCACTTATCCAGTGTCTTGGTGGGTAGGGGCTTAGATATCTTTAGTAGAGGCCACAAGGCAGAGGATTACCCTGGATGGGTGGATTTCGTTAGTCAAATATCAGCAACAGCACAACTGTCTGAAATACATAATGTAATTCCAAAACCTCGATTTGCCTTGAATTCACTAGCGCTAAAACTACATTTCCCGGTGCGCATAGCGCCACCAGGACCGGAAGCCGGGCACTTGCGTGCAGTCGGTTCTGACGAAAGGAGGAGCGCTGGAAGAGTCACAACCTGAACCGCATTAAGACAAGATGGCAGGACTGCCCCGCAGGATCATTAAGGTAATTCGTTCTTCTGTTCACCCCCCATGCCAAAATCGCAGTCACTGTAGTAGAGTTTTCACTTAGTTTCTAAATAGAAAAAAGAGGGGAAAGGGCGCCGCGACCCCGTAGTAAAATCGGCTTTGCTCTCGGTGATCGGCGAGCTTCTGAGACTTGTTACTTCCGTTCATTCTCCGCTACAAACCAGGATACGCTTCGGTTGGGAAGAGCTGCACCCTCCCAAAAAGCGAAACATGGCGGATACGTGCATCGGGGGTGCGTTAAATTGGTTTAGCAGGGTAGCACGACGTGTTACGGCTGTGGTTGGAGGGACGCAGTAATGCTCCCGGGCGTGCTGGCTTGGGGGGGGGGCATCATCCCGCTCCGCGTTGGTTAGTCCCCGGTACAGTGAATGCCTGCGATCATCCTAGTGCGAGCTGCCCCCCTCGCCGTGGAGAAGGCTATTCCTCCTTTTCCTCCAGGCGTTTAAAGCCCAGCTTGTGTTGGGCATGAACCCCGGGGATCGGCCCCGTTTGGGTGGTGTTGCGGGGGGGGAATGGGTGGCGCAGGTATTTTCATAACCGAGGCCTCCATGGGCGGGTTCGCTGCCGCAAGGCCGTTTAAATGAATGGGAGGCTGCTGGGGGGGGGGATTGCGGATTGGGGGGGGGTGGTTTGCACAGCGACGCTGCATTTACTTTTTTTTGCCTAATTCGGCACATGTACGTGTTTTTAACAACACGCCCCGCCGCGGAAATGTAAATGCAAGGGAGCTCTTTGTCAGACGGGGCTTACGTTAAATTGCTAACCTCCATGCATTAATGTTCCCGTGGAAACTTATTTTTTTGTGAATTTAATGAATAAATCTGGTGACGCTTCACTTTAGCCCGACGCTGTCATTTCTCGCCCACGCCTGGCCGTAAGGCAGAAGTACTGTTTCCCGTGCATGTTAAACAGCTGGTTGTCAGCGTCCTGATAAATGGCAATGAGGGAAAAACCAGCCGCCTCGATGGTGAACAGGGTGATGTTTCTAAGTGGTTGGATTTGCGGACATGAGACCGAGGTTTTCCTTCGGTGCGTTTGCGGTGAGCAGTTCAGGGGCACCATCGTTTTGTGGTTAATAGCGAAGAACGATAAGAACCGTGATGGAAGAATCTCGAGCTTGGACTGAAGCACATCCCGATGGAGGCTTGGCGATCTTGCATTTCACTTGTGTCTAAATCGGCCCTTTTTGAGAAGCACTCATGCGTTTTGGCTCCCCAGTCTTCCCGAAGCTGTAAAATTGCTGCCATATCCACATGCTGTTTGTCTGGTTATTGCTATGCAGGCCCCTGAGGTTTGTACCGTTGTTTACAAATCAAAAAGGGGAAATGATTCTGAACACAATGTGATTATTTGGGATGGCGTTACCTCTAGTCAGAAAAGTAGTTTTTTTCCCCTGCTGGTGGAAATTGTATATATGTAGTGTCAAGAAGAAGGGGAATGGAATGAGTGAGGTGTACACAACGTTGTGAATCAGTCCATGGCTGAGGTTTCTGTGTAGGACCAAACTCAGAACGTTTAAATGAAGAAACCTGGTATACTGTAACATGGTAACTGTGGGTGTGACATTCGGAGATAAGACTCGACTGTTGTCTATTTGTGGGATCTGTGTGGTTGAAGGATCAGAATATTACGTTTCGCTTCTAGTTTATGCTGTGAGCCATGTGTCCCCAAGGCAGGAAGTATTGTATGAAATGAGAACATCAGCTGTTGAGGCCACCTTCTTATCCACATGCAGAACTGCAGACTGTTTGAGTTCAGGAGTCAGGTGTGTCAGTGTGAAGGCCAAGGAATGTAGATCCAACCTGGTGACTCGACTCTACTGCCTCCTATGGCACTGGCGGAGTACTGCAGGCAGAATGTCTACTTTTTTAGCCTTGCGAAATCCTTGTAATTATTAGAAATCTTTGAAATTAGATTAGATTAGCTTTATTCATCTCAGAGGGAAAATCTTGAAATGTGCTACTACTTTGAATGTTATGGGTAGGATATCCAAGAGACTGTTATCACTGGTCTGTGTTTATATGATATTTGATCAATCCTAAATACCTGTATTTGCTGTAGTTTCAGGGAGTGCTGATGTATCAGAAATGGTACCAGCCTCACTGACATTCTGTAAGGCTTCTGCAGAAGTCTGAATTTCACATTCACTCAATATTGAAGCACTTAACAATGGTTGTTTACTGTTGCTGCTCAATTTAAGAGCAAGATACTTCCCATGTGTCGACCTGCGGGTTACTGGGTAATGTCCTGCTGCATCTTTAGTCGGTGGTGTGTGAATTTTACTGTGCCGTCAAATTATTTGGTGTTCACAGCATCTACTTTTTTTGCTGTGCAATGTACAGAACGGCCACCTGTTTACAGCTCTGCAAAACTACAGATTTGTCTGCAGTGTCGTGAATTGTATGTGGGCTTGTCACATGTAAAATGTAAATTTGGTCATATAATAGTTTTCCATTGGACAAATTTTTTCATTGTTTTTTCAAATTATTTTCATTTTTCTAAGTATAAGCTGTCTTTGTCCTACATGAGTTTCACTTCATCAGTTGGAGGGCTTCATTTGAAACGCTTTGGTGCTCAGTTGGGTGACTGGTTTGTTAGGTAACCTGTTTCGTGTAGGTTCAGTGGTAGTTCAGCAATTTCAGAAAGGTGGTTCTTCGAGCAGCTCTTGGCATGTAGGGCCGGATGTGTATATCAGTTCTAATTAGGAAAAGGTTGAGTTATAGATGATACAAGTGTTTTTTTCTTGCTCTTCTCGTGTAATATTGGAGCCCAATTGCATTTTGGTTATATTTCAAGATGTCTTTGTTGTACTTTTATCTGGTAATTTTATTACTTTTTCAAAAAAAAAAAAAAAACTTGTGCAACTTATATGCTGTATTACAGCTTGTGCAACAGTATTTACTGTGATCTAAATGCATCGTTATGCATTGTGTGTGTGTGTGTGTGTGTGTGTGTGCGCGCGCATTTTCATTGATAACCTGTTGTGAGGGAATTCAGTGAGGAACATACTTTGTCTGGCTTGGTTTTCTAAGTGGGGGTGGTGCTATGAAAATTTTTATCGCTATTAATATATCATCGGCTAGTTTGTCGGCAGTGTGGTTACATGGTTGTTTTGACTAGTATTCTCCTCCTAGTGGCTTCACAGAAATGTCAGGAATTGTTCGTGACTCAGTTTTGAGAATGTTGGGATACTGGGTTCTCTTGCCTGACCAAAAACAAAAAAACTAGTAATTTTTACATTTTACAGGCTTTGGAAGAAGTTTGAAATGTCTTTAACAGACCCAACCGGTTGCAGTATATCGGCAAGGAGACCTGAACATTCTAAGGAGTTTAGATGTTACTGTAGCCTGACATTGAGGTGATGGGAATGCTTATGTGACACAAGTCTACAGTTTTTCTTCTGATACGAAATGTTTCATTTGAAATTGGGCAGCGCACAAATGAGTTGTCTTGGTATTTTCCCTATGATTTTGCTATGAAGAAGGTTTTCTATCAAGCCAGAACTGAGCCACACCAATAAATAGTCAGCAGAGGTGGAGATTTCAGGTCCAGAGAGTACAAATCCGGACCAAGATTTTGTTTCAACCAACCTGTTGAGTATGCTGCAACTGTGACTCTATACTCAACTGATTGGTTGAAACAAAATCTTGGTCTGGATTTGTACTCCCTGGACCTGAAATCTCTTCAGCTTTAACTAGCAGTGCTTCTTGGGGGTGGTTCCTGGATTGAGGCAGTAGGTATGTTTAGACAGGGATACTAGAGTAGATAAAATGAGTTGTGATTTACTTTGGGACAACTCAAAACATTCCTAGACATTAGACTGCATTCTAACAGTGTAAACAGCCAGTGTTAAATTTTGGAGTATGAATGAATGAATGTATTTTTATTTCTTTCATTTGATTGACTGGGGTTGGTACCTGGATTAAAGGGTGGACTGGAGAAACTCAAATCTCAAGGCTTGTCGTCTCTGACTGTGGTGGGATTTTGCACAGGTAACACGATGCCATGGTGAAGAACCTGGAGGTTTAAATCTGAGCCCGTTCTGTTGTGATGTAGTGAAGCTGCCTTGATCTGTGGTGTTGGGTTATGGCTGGCAGTGATGAGTAGAGCTCTGGCTATCGACTGCCCTGTATCTCATATAAAATGGAAGCGGGGGCAATGTTGGAATGTGTGGTAGAAGTGAGTCCTGAGATTGCTGCACGAGAAGATGTGTCTATCTCTCAGCCCCTGAAGAAGTACAGTGTGTGCAAGTAAAGAAACCTGTGAATGTCTTTGAATGGGGGGGGGTGTTCAGCGCTAATGGACAATGCATGGCTGACAGAATTGGGACCACGAACTCCAGGGTGATCCTCTGGATCTGTTTAGTTGTCATCTTAGCCTGTGGTGCTGAGTAGCGCAGAACTGGGCCTTCTCTGTTTAGTAACTGGCGTGTCCATAACCTGGGCTGGACTTTGTGACGGTGTCTTGTAGTGGTCACAACAGTCACCTAAGGATGTTACGGTAGTGTGAGAGACGGTTAGACGAAATCCAGCGCGTTCACGGTTTTAGCTGTTGGGGGGGGGAAGTGTGGCTGGAACTAAAGTTAGAAACTGGAAGCAGCAAGACATGGATGATAATTTGACAAGTATTGCAAGAATGCTTGTTGACAGTTAACCGGTATGATGACATCGTGCTGGTTTATAACCAGCTTGGACGTGTTGCGTAAGTCTTCGTCAGATTTTGCTGTTCCTGGTAGTCTCCCTCTGCTCATTAAAATTGTGAGGCTGCCCATTTGACTCTGTTGGTGCATTGGATTTGCCAGGATGTAGTATGTTGAGTCGTTTTACAAAAACGGCCGGATGTGCATAATTAAGACGGCGTGGGTTCAGTAACTCCCTCTGAATGAGTCATTTGCCGTGCAAATTTAAATGAATGGTTGCCCATTAGCATTGTAAGGGTGTAGCGTGTTACCAAGTGTCCGTCTGTCTCATCGTTTTGATGCTTGACAGATTTGTGACCCGTAATGGACTTGAGATCCGTTAAATGTAGTCCAGTAACATTCAGGTCCATGGCTTGCATTGTGTGCAGGTTTTCAGCCTACGCAAACACTTAAGTCTGCAGTTGAATGAATTATTAATAATAAGGTAGCGGTCTCTCTCTCTACCTAGCTTGTTGGCGGTTTTTAACGAGCTGGAAGAGCAAGCGTGTGCCTGGATAGACCACGGGTGCGAGCTGCTTACCAAGCTAATCGCAACTGTGGGACCGTTTGTAATTAAGCAGATGTGGGCATGATGGCCTCACAGTATATAGTGTTGGTATATGATGGTGTTAGACCTCGTTTAGATGTTCAGTTGATAATTCTAGGGAAGTTAATGCATGTAAACTTCATTGCCAGTGTTGGGTCTGTACGTTTTTAAGCTACAGTGAAGGCAGACCTTTATCTTTTTGTAAGATGTCATGAACTGTCAAGATGTGGCCCCTGCTGTCTGTCGGTTGTAACTTGTGGATCTTGCAGGAGACACAGCGCCTGCTTGCGGAGCCTGTACCCGGGATCAAGGCAGAGCCGGACGAGGGAAATGCCCGCTACTTCCACGTGGTCATCGCGGGCCCCCAGGACTCGCCCTTTGAAGGCGGGACTTTTAAACTTGAACTCTTTCTGCCTGAGGAGTATCCGATGGCAGCCCCGAAAGTACGCTTCATGACCAAAATCTACCACCCCAACGTAGACAAGCTGGGCCGGATATGCCTGGATATCCTGAAAGGTGGGGGCCTGTCAGCGTTGATGAGCCTCTCGTTGGAATCTGTTACGGATGAAAACCAGCGGTTGTCTTGCCTCTATCCAAAATTGAGCACGACCTTGTGACCTTTTCATAATGACGCTAAACGAGCCTTTTATTTCTGCAGATACCGGCTGGGTTTCACTGTTGTCTTGTTGCTTGTATGTACTGTGCTCCGCTCCCTGACGCATATCATGTCTGTCTCTGGGAATGAGGCGGGTCACACTGGAAAAGGGTGGTGATGGCAGGTTTCACTGCTTAGGAGTTTAGAAGGACCAGGAGAGGCTGTAGGTATTAGTGGGTAAATGACCTGAGCTTAAATACCTTTTAGGCAAATAGTCTATTCCAAGTAGTAGGTGTCATAACATCAAGTAAGGTGTTTATGAAGCTGTATTGATGAATATTCTTCCATTAGTGAGGCAGGTCTTACACAGGTAGTGTACTTGGGGTACCGTCCTTCGGCGCTCGGCAGTGTTGTAAGTGTAATCTAAGGACGTAACTTTAAACGCCGTGCTCTGGCATTTCAAAGCTTGGTAATGGGAATATATGCTCAGGGGTTGTGGCGTGTCCTCCCACCGCCAAAGCAAATACGCCAGTACGAGCTTGGCTGGCTTCAGGCTGTTGAAACGTCGATATCAGTCTTCTAGATTAACTTGTAATCCTAGGGAGGAGAGGGGGGAGAGAATAGGACCAGGTCATTTTGTGCGGAGTGATATATGTATTTGAAGTACGGTAAGCCTACGCCCAAGCATTCCCAGCAGCTGATAATGGAATGTGTGTCTGAGAGGCCTGTAATGTTCATTTCAGGCTAACTCGGTCGTGGCGGTGCCTTTTCTCATGTTGCAGGGGACGGCAAAGGTGTGTGATGCACGTGTTTAACCGGTATCCACTAGTGAGCGTGATCAGTGTGTCAGTTGCACCTGACCTTTTTTTTTTTTGCTTTGTGCCGCAGACAAGTGGTCCCCAGCTCTGCAGATCCGCACAGTGCTGCTGTCCATCCAGGCATTACTAAGCGCTCCCAACCCGGATGATCCACTAGCTAATGACGTCGCTGAGCAATGGAAAAGCAATGAGGCCCAAGCTATAGAGACAGGTGAGCGCGCATGGCGGTAGGAGGGTGTATCTTAATCCCGCCGTCGAGGTGCAGTGGAAACAAGAAACCAGTGGCCGGTGCTATTTTGTGCATATGGAAGGAGATCTTTCATGTTGGTTTTGCCTACCCATAATGAGGAGTGACGTATGCAAATGTGATTGATCTAACAGCCTATCAGTTTCTGAAGTGTCCAAGTGGGTGACTGCATGGGTGTTGGCCAGTGGGCTTGGTGGTGGTCATTGTGAACAATTCTTAGGTTTGTTGTGCCATTCATTGTGAGCCACTCTGGATGGGATGACTGATTCTCAAAGGTGTCCTCTGTGTTCCACAGCACGCACATGGACCAGGCTGTACGCAGGAAACAACATCGAAGTGTAGGAGTGGAAGTGGAGCACAACTTCCTGTTCTACCAAGCCTCCTATCCCCCCAACCCACCCCCCCCCCCAACATTTTCGTTTTGCATTTAAAGGACACGGTCTGGCAAGACAAACATGAGATTAGAGACTTGAGGATGTTCGAAATGCACATTAGCAGATGTATCTTTGTCCTGATTCACCGTTCATAAGCAGGGCCTGTGTGTGTGTGCGTGTGTGTGTGTGTGTGCGCGCGCATGTGTGTGCGTATGCGTATTTGGGTGGTGGGTGGGGGGGGGAGTTGGCGGAACAGTACTTTTTACTTATTTTTCTTTTAAACGTAACTTTTTGTTGCTGTGACGCTCCTGGTGTAAAGCACAGCTAAGTTGCTCCATGATGATCGCTCCCCCCCCCACTGGTGGTCATAACTAGGCGCTTTAGAAAGAACAAAATCCCACTGAAGAGGGTTGTTTTTTTGTTTTTTTTTGCCCCCCCCTCCCCCCACGAGGGCAAAAGATGTAGTGATGAACCGACGTGTAAAGAAATGAATGAAATAAAACAGAGCCACCACAATGACTTGTACTGTTTTGACAGCCGTCAGTGTAGACTAATGTAGGCTTGTGACTTTGTATGGCTTGTCTGGGAGAAAGAAAGTGTGTAAAGTTTTAGTAAAATTTGTTATTGTATTGGGTCTGCATTTGATTTGTCATTGACACTGAATAGAATTCCTAGTATTCCCCCCTCCCCATCCCAAACTTTAATTTTTGTAGGTGTAACTGGTGCTGGTAAGTGGGTGTTATGATGGAAGTGTGATTTGTGGAAGACACCCCCCTCCCCCAAACATACAAAGGTGACTAATTAGAGGAATATAGCTATGGCCTGGTCAGGACCCCCCCCCCCCTGCCCCCTTACTGTGTGGAAACCTTTGAAAGAGATGCATGATGTCCCTTCGTACCTGGGTGAATAGCCATGCTAGGTAGGTAGTGTTTTGTACTGCACAGACAATGGACTTGTGCAAGTTTTCATATATACAATCATACACTGGGCTGCGGTATAATAAAATGTCTCAACCTGCTTCAGAAACTGAGATTTTAAAGCAAATGTGAAAATAGCACCAAGAAAACAGCACATAAGGCAGCTCTCAACTTGTGTAAAGTGGACTTGTAAATCCAACCATCCAAAAAGCAGGTTTACAGAGATGCTAACAGAAAGCCAACATCCGCCTGTATGCAAATTGACAATTTATTGTGCTTTAGTATATATTTTTGCTTTTATGTGTTTTTCTGTAAGATGCCTTGAATGGAAAATGAAGGAAGATCCAACAAAATTTCTAATGGAATGTGGGCCTCAATGAAAATTAGTTGGGGAGCCCTGCTATAAACTACCCCGCCCCCCCCAACTCGCCTAGCTGGACATCAGATGACAGATTCACCAATAAGTGCTTGCTGGTTTGTTTACGAGTATGATGTTCCAATTCACTAGTTCATAAGCACAATGCAACAAGACTTCAGTCTGAAAACAGAACCACAAAAAAGCCGTACGAGTCCATGGGAACCCTTCCAAGGTTGAAGTAGTTCTCACTACCAAATCTGCTGCTATCGTCCTCGTCCCTTTTGCCTACCTGCTTCAAATTTCACGTACATGTTGAATAAAACATGGCGCGGTACCTTCAGAGAGCATGTCACGGCCACACTGGCTGTCGTCTTCCAGCTGCAGTAACCTGCCAGTCCTACAGCCTTGGCTGCAGCTGCTGGTGTCCCCTACCTGCCCAGTACAAGAATGCGTCCTACCATTATAATTCCACAAACCAGCAATTGGTTACCCGAGTAATGTAACATATTTCATGGACAAAGGTTCATTTCGGGGGGCCGGGCACAGTGGTTAGCACTGCTGCCTCACACATCTGGGACCATGGTTCAAGTCACCATAGTTCAATGTGTGTGGCTTTTACACAACATTCTTCCTGTGTCACCGTGGGGTTTCGCCCATGTACTCTGCCCCCCGCCCCCCAGCGTGAGTGTGCTCTGCAAAGGGCTCAAACCCCCTCCTGGGTTGTTCCCTGCCTTACACCTATAGCCTCCAGACCCCCTGTGACACTGAGTAGGACAACCAGATACAGGAAATTAATGAATGTAAACGTTAGTTTCGGCTTGAGACACTTGAGCCAAAGTAGTATGCTTTAGGGTACCTGCAGTTGCAGCTTACTACCACAAGATGGCACGGACTGCTTTAACAGTAGGAAAATGTCAGCATACCGTTACATTTCTAGCATGCACCTAAATCAGCGTTCCTGGTCCTGGAGGGTCAGCCTGCAACAGTTTGCCGATTTCCCTGCTCAAACACCTTATTCAGCTCACCGGCTAAATGCCAGGTTTAGTGGGTGTATGTCAGCAGGGAAATCGGCTAGCTGTGTAGCAGACTGACCCTCCAGGACCGGAACTGGGGAACCCTTGTCAAAGTAGCATATTTTTTTTCCACGGCAGTCAGTTCCTGCATTACTACACATCTACACTCACCTAAAGGATTATTAGGAACACCATACTAATACGGTGTTTGACCCCCTTTCGTCTTCAGAACTGCCTTAATTCTACGTGGCATTGATTCAACAAGGTGCTGAAAGCATTCTTTAGAAATGTTGGCCC